CTCCAGGCCCCGGGGCTCAGCCCTCCGCCCTCCTCCCCACCAACCCACCGGTCCCCGCTCCCTGGATGAGCTCGCGCCCGGCGCAGAGCCTGACACGCCGGGTGTCGGCGGCTGCTCCAGCTGCATCTCTGCTCCTGCCCCTCCCCTGAACTTGACCCCTGTAGCCGCTGGCCCCTGGGCAGCTGGCCTCGGAGTCTACTCTCGTCTCAGATGTTCGTGTCCAAGACAAAGTCCGGACCCCGCTCGCCCACCCTGAGGACCCCGCCTCAGTAAACGGAAACGCCACTTGTCCGAGTGGTGGGGAAACGGAACAGGGAGCCGTGAGCAGCGAGATCGGCGCCTCTTGCCTTCACGCCCGCACCTGACCCGCCGGCGGGGCCCGTGGCTTTGCCTGCGATGAATTATTTACCTGCAGAACTGAGCGCGTCTGACCGCCTGCTCCACGACTCCCCAGCCCGCCGTCCGTTCTCGCCCTCCCCACCGGCCCCAAACGCGCACGCTCCACGCCCCGTCAAGACTTTTCACGATGGGCAGTGGAGGCCCAGACGCGTTGACTCTGCCCTCCCCGAGGGCAGGTTTCCGGCCTGTGTCCTCTGTCGCAGCTGGGCTGGAGGACCAGAGCTCGCCGGCGGGCTGGAGCTGACCGTGGGGACAGCACTCGTGACGCGGTCACCTGGGTTAAACAGCACGATGGCTCGCAGGCAGCCCAGCTCCGACTTGTCCATCTGCATGTCCTTCATCTTGGAGACCAGCTCAGTCAGGACTCTGTTCGCAGGGACAGGGACAGGCGAGAGAATCGTGAGTGCCAGGCCACGGCTGACGAAATGAACCTGACCGACACTTACTATGTGACCCCGCCCGTGTTCCAGATGGCACGCCGGGCACTAGGGCCACACAGGTGAACAGATGTGGCCCCTGACCCCCCAAAGCCACCGTCTAATCAAAGACACAGACAGGGAAACACACAGCAACACGAAGCCAGCGCCGGCTGAGAGCCGTCCATGGCAGCACGGGGTGCGGGCAGGGGGCCGGAGGGGCTGGGAGCTGCTGGAGGGCTTGGGAGTTTGGGGTTGGGGGGCAGCCAAGCAGGGTGAGGGCCCTGCCTGTCTGAAGCCACGGCAGAGGGCAGCAATTGGTGACAGGTTAGAAATCTCTAGGCACCACGAGGAGGCAGGAGCCAACCAAAGACCGGGCCACGTGACGCTGGTATGGAGCAGGCCATGGGAAAGGGCGCAGAGGGAGTGGGGACACCTAGGTGGCCACGCGAGCGGCCTGGGAGACCGTCTGTGATGGGTGTGGAGAGGGGCCCGGGACCCGGCACAGGGCAGAAGCTGGATTCACCCTCACCCTCCGCATCCCCAGTCCTGCAGCCTGTCACCCCCAAACCGTGCATCCCGGTCCCCCCCAGCCGTGCACCCACTCACTTCATTCCCCTCCTCAAACCCCGGGGCTTAATCTT